TTAGGCTCATTTTTATTTTAGCTTTCAATCAATAGTTTTACAGCCTAGGTCAATGTACTCTTAACATATTTCTATCTCTTCTGGGTGTCAATTAGTGTCATTCTGCCTTTGTGTGCTACATCACTGCCTCTTGAGTATTTTCTACGTCATAGTCATGGCTCCACTTGACTTGAATGGCTCCATATCCTCTTCTTAATTCGTAACATGTTCTGGAACCAGTCATAGAAAACCATAACATTTTCTTTATATTCTTTGTGCTTGACCATGTACTGGCTCAACACAGGGGCTGCGTACTCGAATACGGTTACTATTATTATTATGATAATTATTATTAACAGAGTAGCCGATGAGTGGAACAGTCTACCTAGTAGGGTCATTGAAGCTAAAACCTTCGGTAGTTTCACATTTAGGTTAGATAAATGCACGAGTGAGAGAGGTTGGATTTGAGTGGGATTTGCACACGAGTTAATAGCGTTATTAGAGCTCATTCCTTGGGTAACATTAAAAAGGGGTTGGGGAAATATTTTTGTGAATGGGCTTGAGTTTGAGAAGGACTTGCCTAGCATGGGCCAGTAAGTCTGCTGCAGTGATCTTCCTTTCTCATGTTCTTATTCTTTGTCACTAAAAGATTCTGGGTATTAAAGGAAAAATGAGATCTTTAGCCATGTACAGATTTTGTTTTTTTTATATATAAAAGGTATACAGTCAGTACAAAGCTCTGTGTCTTACAATTGAGCTTGACATAATAAAGCTTACTTGAAATCCCACTACATTTACAATATACAACATGCCCCATACCCCATGATACGACATACAAGTGAATATCATCTTTACCCCAAACATCATACACCATACATCCCACTAGATACAGAGCTCACGTCATACACATCTATACAAGACAGCAATGATTCCCTTCATACGCCGCCAGAGTACAATATGGTCAATAAGATCTTTCTTACTATGATGTATAATATTCTCTCCCATTCAGAATCTCTCTCACTCTCATTGAAAATTAATAACATTGGTTTAATTCACACAGAAGTTGGAGAACACTGTTATGGCGTGACCTTATCGCAACCCAGAAATTACTTTAGCTTATCTTGGGTACTTGGCTTCATGTATTTTCAAATTCTTACAAAAGAAATTTTTTGGTAATCACATTTCCAATAAATAAATTTCATAATGGTCTGGCTAGTTATCAGTTCCTGGAAAATCCTGTGGACGTCCTCTCAAGAGGCTCTTGCTCCAGGGATCTTGAGCTACTCTCGCATTACCTAAGGGTTTAACGCATCCCCAATAAAAACTACAATCCACTTTTATCATTATTTCCTCGAATACCAAAAAATCAAATTCAGAAAATATATTTCTCTGAATCATAAAAAAAAAACAACACATATAACACTGTTGCCATGTCGCGCCATACGGTAATATTCAGGAAATATTCCAATATTACAAGAGTGGGTAAGATCTACCATCATTTATTATATTACGTTAATAATTGTTTCTAAGGGAGGTATTCAAAGTGGTGTTGATGGCTTGCTTCACGCTCTTGTTTAACGGAGGTAATCAACGTGAAGATGGCTTGCTTCACGCTGTTGTATAAGGGAGGTATTCAACGTGGGGATGATGGCTTGCTTCACGCTGTTGTATAAGGGAGGTATTCAACGTGGGGATGATGGCTTGCTTCACGCTGTTGTTTAAGGGAGGTATTCATCAACGTTAGGATAATGGTTTCCTTCCGCTCTTGTTTAAGTAAAGCAAACTAAAATAAAATGTTTGAAT